GTTTATATATATATTTTTTTATATTCAATGTAAATAAATGTTAATAAAAATATATTAAAGATGTACCTTTCTAGACGAAAACCAAATTTTGGAAAAAATTAGGCAAATTTAAATTTGGTAAAAAGCTAACCAAAATGTGTCTACTATACTCCAGTATTCGCCGTTTATGAATCCCCCTTGATTTTATCATGATTATTTTACAGTTTTTTTGGGCATAACTTTCTACATAGTTCTTGTAGCCAATGTCTGGCTTCTGCATGAAATGCTTCATAGTCAAGTGGAGTTGATTCCGTTCTTACCGTTACCGAATGTTTTTTTTTACTGTAACTTGGATTATCTATATTTTTTACTTATAAAGGTTATAATAAAATAAAAATAAAACTTCCCAAAACGAAATTTTCTAAGTTTCCAAAAAACCGATTTGTTCCATTGTATTTAAACGATGAGAGAGTTTCCGTCCAAATAACCTTAGACCATTTTTTTTATGTGTCCTGTAGTATTTTTAATTTAACGCACTCGGATGGGTAGTGGTACTGTACAGCCTTCTTTAAAACTTATACAAACATTTTTTATAATTTTTTATACACTTACAGTGATTTAATATATGTTTATTATAATATATTTTATAATTAAATAATAGGAACATGTCCTTAGAAACGTCTCGTAGGTCTATTTTATTCACTTGTAGTAATATTTTTGTTTCTCCTGTCGTCAGCAAGATTTTTGTAAGGCATTGCCCAAGGCATGTTAAAAATTTACTTAAAAATGCTTACTTGGCTCAAAAGTTGAAAATTCACAAGCAGTCTCGTACAAAACAACGTTTCCTATTTACAACCACCAACCTAACCGAAAGATTTAACCTCTCAGCAATTGATCAGTGGGTGTAACTTATTATATAAAAAAAGTATTAGCTTAGTTGCTGTGCTGACACATAATGTTCAGTTTACTCTGATGAATTTTCAGCTACATCAATGTAATTGGATTTGATTCATCGAAATATCGTGCAATGCGAATGTGCAATAAATGAATGTTTTCCTCATAAATACAAATCTAAAAGAATCAAATCATTTTACAATCAAGGTGGGGTATGAATGACATCGTATCATCACTATTGTCTACAGATCCTACACAAATAATAAATTTTGAAAAAAAAAGTAAATATTGAAATCTTATTCTCCGTGAAAAAAGCGTTGTTAAGTGTAACAGAGAATGATTTCTTGAAACTAAATTTGATTCACCGTAGCTTTGTAGTAATAATCCTGCCGTAGCTTAAAAACTAAACACACGCTTGTGCGTGTAATACACAACCTAAATGGATGAATCCTCTCCCAGCAAGAATCCTTCGTCCTGCTAGTTGTTAATTAGACGATGACTGTAGAAAATCCGAAGTCATATATAAATCCATGAAATATGCAAGCAACGGTGCGGCTCGTCATTGTGTAAACAACAATCAGAGAACGTATTCGTCTCAATTAGTACAAACCTCAACTCTTGCAAGTTATATGTCTTTGGTCTACGCGACAGGATTTAAGATACGGGATCGCTATAAATCCCTCTCATAGCTGAACACACACACATACACCTCAGGCATCACCTTTTCCTCGCAGGATTCGCCTAATTATTCCGGATATCGTGTTCTGGCTGAAGCTGACACGCCATTACAATAAAAAAGTACTTCCAAGAAAAAAATTAAGAAATTTTTAAACAATAAAAAATACATTTTTTGAGATAAATAATGTTGACTAATATTTCGTTTGGAGAAGTTGGTGTGAATTTTGTTTTACACACGAATATGTGGTACATATTTCAACACAAATGATTTTTTGTGCCTTGGTGGCGGCCGGCCCGCTTCATTGGTTTTCGATACCTAGGTCTACATGGGCTTAAAACCCAGAAACTGCCGGACTACTCCTACCTAGTGATTTTTTTATCATTGACGATATTGGTTGGTATTATCGCTTGTCATACTTGGTTGTCGGTGCACCCCTCTGCAATAAATGCTACCCAGATTGGAAGACAACTCAGATGCGACAATCAAGGAAACCATTGTTTTTTAAGGTATTGAGGCAATTAATTTTGCTCATATAGTTAAGGATAGTGGAAAGTAGTTTTTCTACCGCGCACGTTTTTTGGTTTTCTAATAGAGTTATTAAAGCACGCAAATGACACTACAGCAGTTCGTTAATAGCCGAAAGGAGTTCTTTAATAGATCTGGTGTAATTTAGATCGGTAAGATTGGTAGCTATCACGAGAAATGTCAAGTGAATGCCAGTGGCAAATGTCAAATTAAAATTTCCCGTATTTCCGGAGGCCTAAGGACTTCACTAACTTCTTGACAAGACATTTTAACCAATTGTAACTTACAAAAACTCGAATTGATTGGAATTACAGTTGTTGTTGTGAAAATTCAAACCGCAAATATTTCGTGGTTAGTGTCAGACCAACCCATCACCAACCACGACAAGATTCCCCAGATTTAAAAAAAGGCAAATTTCAATTAAATTTTGCGAAAAAACGTGCGCGGTAGATAAAATAGTATAAATTACTCGTTCATAAGGCCATTGTGGCACTCATCCTTTAAATAACTCGCGGCTTCGCCGCTCGTTCTATACACTTGGATTCGTGCCTCAATATTTGCCTTATGAAACTCGTTCTTTAATAAACTATTTGACAACGCATTACCTCCTCTATTTTTGAGAAATGTGGTCATAGTTTTACTAGAACTTTTGCCTATTTTTGTCATATAATTTGCTATTAAATTAAGCAGTAGTGCTCTGAATCAGCCTATATAATTTATAAAGATAATAATAACAAGCAAATCGAAAAATAACATTAATTATACTAAATTTTTCATGCATCTTTTGATGACAATAGCCTGGTAATCAGAAATACATATGTACTTATGTTTAGCTTACCGCTTTACTAAATACCCATTTTTCGAAGTGGGCAATTATTTGACATATTAGTAGATGCAGTTATTGTAGTTTAATAAATGCTACATGTTGTATTCTTTCTACGAAAACCAAAAGATTAATTTGGTTAATACTGAGTAGTTGTTATCTACATTATCTTTTAGAATATACAGCGTACCATATCCAAGTTTGGACTGGACATCTCCCCAGATCACGTTAAAACTATTATTGAGCGATTCATTTGTGGGCGGTAAACGAGAGCTGTCGGCCAGTATTTTTTCAAATCGTTGCGTAGCGCCCATTCACTGTAAAACGTCTTTAAAAATCGTATTTTGAAATTAACGCTCGGTGCGGATTTGTCGCGAAAGGTACCTTCTCAGATCGAAGTTCGTCCTTGGATTACCCATGGAAAATCGAAATGTCAAAGTGAATTTAGAAATTATTCCTCGATTCTCACTCAGAAATAAAAAAAAAATTACTGATATCGCTTTTAACTAAGTTATTTAACTTATGCATTAAAAATTTTAGCTTCCCAAAATGTTTAAAAACAGGTGTCATTGTTCCTATCCATAAAAATAGTGACAGTAGTAAACTCATTATCGACTAATAGCATTACTACCAGTTTTTCCAAAATATAGGAAAAAATACTTTGCAATCAATTAAGTTCCTTTTTGGAAGGTAATAAATTAATTTCCCCAGTTCAATGTGGATTTAGGAAAGGCCAGTCCACTATTGATGCAACAAGTCATTAAATGTTTGCAAAAAGTTGAAGTGGGTATAGCGTCGTTTTTAAATTTGGCAAAGACTTTCGACTGCGTTGCGCATGAAATACTAATAATGAAACTATAATGAAATAAGTATAATTTACATTCCACCTCTTGTCAGTTAATTTCATCTTTTTTGGTTGAGCGTTGTCAAATTGTAAGGAACGGGTCTGCAAATTCTGCAAGCCTCTCCATTACACGCGTTGTACCTTAGGGCTCAGTATTGGACCCCCTACTATTTCTAGTCTACATCAAGATATTTATAGACTCGTTCATTACTTTTTGCCGATGACACAACCATTTTAACAGTAGGTAAACACATCGCTGATACTGTTAGTGTCCATGAAAGGACGCAGTCCAGAGCTATTCGTTTGTTTCACAGTAATAAGTTAACAACTAACAAAAAAAAAGTGTTAATATGTTTTTCAGTTTAAAAAAAGAAAAAATACCTGAAGAATACTCAGAATCCACTAAATTCTTGGGTTTGCACATTGATTGTCAGTTAACTTGGAATGTTCATGGGAAAGTGTTTGCGGATAAATTGTGTAAAAATATTTTTGCACTTAGACCCCTCTATAACCAAGTTCCCCTTGAAGCTTTAAGAGCACCTATTTTGCTCTTATCCAAGCACAGTTAGTCTATTGATTTGGGCTCACCCGGACTCAAGAGACCGAATATTTGCTCTACAGCGGAAAGCTGTTAGAGTTCTATGTGGTTTAAAATATCGTGACAATTGTAAGGATCATGCATTAGTTTTAAAATTATAACCTTAGCCTCGCTTTATATCTTCCATTACATGATCGTTTTCCGGGTTGGAACCGTGTAAATTGAGTTTTTGGGCTCAACGTTTCGCATATTTTCGTAAGTGGCATCTTCTGGAGCACGGTAAGTCAGTATGTAAACCACACCAGAGGCGAAACTTTTTTGACGGGAAGAATTTGGTTACGGTCTATTTATACACGTGGTGGGGAAAACCGTCGTGGTTGAAGCTAATTGGCCGGCTCCGGGTGGAGTAGGGGGAGATGGAACGAGCATTTGTATCGAGTGCGGGCTTCCAAATATTTGACAGATAATAATCATTGTCTCGGTTGAGGTTATGTGGAGATTTATGGATTTCAATAGCTTCACGGATTTTTGGGTCATAGAAATGTGGTTCTTTGGACAGAACTTCGGAATTTTCAAACAGGATGGTGTGACCGGTTTCATGTTGGTATCTAGCTACGGCAGAGTGAGTCAGAAGGCCTGTTCTGAGATAACGTTTTTGTTCTTGAACTCGAATTTTTTTGGACCTACCAGTTTCTCCTATATACTTTACACCATAGGACTAGGAAATGCTGTATATGCCTCTACAGTCTAGAGCTTGGCGAGAATCTTTGACGGAAGGAAAAATTTGTGCAATTTTAGTTGCAGGTTTGAAGATTGTTTTAACTTTTTGGCTTTTTAGTATTTTGGCCAGACGGTCGGTGACCTGAGAAATGAATGGGAGATAAGTTTGGCGATTTGAAATGTTGTCAGAGTTGGGATTAATTCGACGTTGAATCCCTGACTTGATAGTGTGGTGGTCGTATCCATTTTGTCGAAGAGATGTTTGGAGATGTTCTAATTCATTCTGGAGTTTGTCCGGTTGAGAAATCTTAATGGCTCGATGAATTAGGGAGCCAATGACAGACCGTTTTTGGGTGCAGTGGTGATGAGACGTAGCGTGAAGATATCTATCGCTATGGGTAGGTTTTCGATAAACTGAATGACCAAGTCGGCCTTCGGGTAACCTTGTTACCATAACATCAAGGAAAGGAAGACAATTGTTGGTTTCCACTCCCATGGTAAACTGAATGTCGGGGTGTTGACTGTTGAGATGGTCGTGAAAGACTGAAAGGGCGTTTTGACCATGGGGCCATATGACAAATGTGTCATCCATGTCGCGGAACCTAACTTTGGGTTTGGGTTGGGCGGATTCAATGGCTGTGTCTTCAAAAGTTTCCATGAGAATATTGGCAACGACTGGTGAGAGAGGGGATCCCATGGGAGTACCAGAGATTTGTTTGTAAAATTGGCCTTGGAAGGTAAAATATGTGGAGGTTAGAGATTTCTCCCGCGAGATCACCACGAAGTGAAGGTTGTCCGTCACTGAAAAGAAATTCACGGATTAATGTTAAGGACTCAGCTACAGGGACTTTTTGTGTGAATACAGATGTTACGTCAAAACTGACAATTCTATCTTCGGGGTCAAGAGAGATTGCGGAGATTAGTTGGACAAAATGTGAGGAATTAAGAATATGTGAGGAGGTTTTTCCGGTATATTCCTTCAGAATACGGGCTAGATATTGGGCTGTATTATAAGTGGGACACTCTAAAGTACTGACGATGGGTCTGAGACGGTAATTGTTTTTGTGAATTTTGGGTAGACCGTACATACGTGGTGGTTTGCAGTTTCGGGGTATTCGACGTTTGAGTACCTGGGTTGGCAAGTCACCCGATTTCAAAAGAGTTGTGATCTCACGTTTAATGTGGGAAGCTGGGTGCGAGAAAGAATAGAATAGGAGCCGTCCTGTAGAATGTAGAGTTTCGCCTCTGGTATGTTTGACATACTGAGTTACCGTGCTCTTTTGCCTTATTCTTAACCCGGCTCCTGAAGATGTCACTTACGAAAGTGGGCGAAACGTTGAGCCCAAAAACTCAATTTACACGTTTCCAACCCGGAAAACGATCATGTATTGATTCCGACCGTGGAAGCCTCCGAAATTATTTATATCTTCCGTTGTTTGATTTACGTTATATCTAAATTCACCGCTATAAGACACATCGCGATGTTCATACTTCTAATACGCCTCATAACACAGATTTGTGTCTGAAAAACTGAAGATTAACAAAATATCGGACAAGTAGTCAATATTTTCGAATAAAGAAAAAGAAAATAAAACATTACTTGGCATGCAAAGTTTTTACAACATTGAAGAATTTTGTAGTGACAAAGATATTTGAAATTTAGTGTAAATATGTATTCTTATAATTTGTTAATTGCCACGTGCACAAAGAATAGTGATATATTCTAATTAATGTACTAATAAACATTATAATCCAGCGTCGATGAAAAAAGGTCCAGTGACATGATGCGTAGAAGTCCCAGTCACACATTGACAGCTGCTCTCGAGGGTTCTGTAATGCCCAAATTCGATCGTTCTGACGATTATAACCTCCTGTAAATGTTCCTTAAAAAGTCTCCATCAGCCCAGATTCTCCCAAACTTTCCTTCGCAAAACACCATACAAAATATCCTCAGGCTTCAATTTTTGCTTCTTGATCTTTTTCAAAATTTAAACGGAGCAGTAGGTAAACTGTTATCTGAGACTTTAGGAAGAATCATTGGTAAAATAAACTGATCAAAGAAATTTAACGAACAGAGTAGAACTTTTGTACTGACTTCTCTCGAACAAATTTATAGTAAAAATGGGGAGTGTTGATAGTGGAAGCGTGAACATTATCCACATACAATTTGTAGAGATTCAGAGAAAGTTTGTTTTATTTAGATCCTATACACTTTAATTACAAATAATCATTTAGGATTCTAGAATGTTTAAATTTAAAACGCTAAGTTTTTGCAGCATTGTTTTTGTTCCAGAATTAAACCTTAGGCTGTTTAGAAGGTTTTAGTTTTTTTTTTTTTTTTGGTGGAATATAAGGTTCTACAACATTATTGACAGTATCATGAAAACCGACTAAATTTAAGACCGTTGACCATCCTCAATGCATTTGTTCCAGCACATGAAAGACAAATAACCATTCAAAAAGGAATATAATTACCACTCACAAAGTGAAACAGAAGATTTTCTGTTTCTTAGGGAAGGCAATAAAAATCGATCAAGAATAAAAAGTAGAAACATAATTTTCATCATCGGTAGAGATCATATTTACCTGTTATAAGTTTCAAAATAAGTAAGTATTATAACATCGTAGTAAGTAATTCTGATAGATACCGACAATACAGATCTATATTATCATACCCTGTTAAGTTCATTTAATATGATTTATGAAGTTATGAGTAACATGACAACATGAGGAATTCCCTAGCAACTAAGGTAGGTATAAAATTATCATCCAAAATCATTACAGTGTGGTATCTATATATCAGTGTTCAAGGCGCCAAAGTTTTTTAAGTCATGACACAATCTTTAATAAAGCTTTTTAATTTATTGCTGTTTTTTGCCAAAGACTGCCATTTTCATTTAGACGATAATAATAATTTATTAAAACAGATACTGTTTAATATTAATAGCAAGCTATAGTTTTGAATAGTACCTAAAACAAATCGTTATCGCTTTAGTGCCGGTAATCATCCATAAAAAATTAGGAGTTTGGACGCTGGCCTCCATCTATTATTATTATTATATACGCCTGAGGGCCCATTTACTAAGAGAGAAAAACAAATAGCAAAATGTGAATATTGAAAAGAAGAAAATAAAAAAAAAGAACTACAAAAAAAGACAACATACACAACACAACTCCAGCGAAAGTATAATTAAGTTGAAAGTAATTAAAGATGAATCTTTGGAGTAAGATTTAATTCTATATTTATCCCTGATTAACACTTGGTTGCTAATGGAACACTCGTATACATAATCGATATTTTGCTGAAGGACATCGTAATCATCAAGAGATCTAATATGATCAAATATCTTAAGATCGTCTGCCTACACATAATAAACAATTATATATTAACTTTTTGCACAATATCCTTAACGTATATATTAAAGAGCAGAGGACCCAAAATTGAACACTGTGAAACATTCGATATTTGGACAAACTTGTCAGATGAACGACTTTTGTAAAGTATACTGACCGATAACTGAGAGATACGAATGAATCAAAAATTAGAGTTAGTAATTTAGAGAAACCAAAATTTTCCCTTTTATGCAACAGCACTACGGTCAAATGCTTTTGAAACATCAGTCGACCTGGCTACCCCTACCAAGACAATGGACCCGAAATTGTGTTTTTAAAAACAAATTAGTAACTGTTGATTTCGCTTTAACAAACCCATGCCGTAGCGAAAATAGGTAGTTAACAAACACCTCTTCCCAATTGCTGCATGAAGAGGTGTTTCAGTGAAAATATAAAAATATTTTAGGAAAATCAGCCACAACTATAATTTTTTTGACATTTTCAGTCATCTCATACGCTTCGTCGAGTGTTTGACCGACTAAAAAATGTTTTTCATTGGAAAATTTTGTCGAAATCCTTCTATAGATTCAGCAATAAACTAGATTCATCTTCCATTTACTTTACAACAAAATGTTTTCATTCTTACGTAAAAACTATCGTGGTTTTTTAAAATGGAGTAACCTTTGTCTGCACTAACAAGATTGAACTTCGATTTTAGCCTTTTAATCAATCCGTAGAAAACATTTCCATGCCGTACTTTAATCTGAAAATTATTCTATGAATTTCTATGAGTTGCTGATACATTATATAAACAGATGAGTGTGCAGTTACATCTGCAAAATAAGAATATAAAGCAATGAATTTTCTTAGTCTGCAAAACTTGGAATGTTCTTAGTACCGCCCGTCTTGTAACCCCGACATTTTTGACTCCTGGAAGGGTTTCCCACAACCTCCACCAAGATCGTTCGTAGTATATTTTAATTACTCCGGGCAAGCGGTGCAGCCGCGGCGAAATTTATTTATATCAACCAAACTTTTAAATTAGATAAAAGTACAACTTTCATCATAGATATAATTTCTACGATACGAGTGCGACGCGAGAGCAAAGACTTGGCAGTGTCGGTTTTTGAAATTAATTTATTTCCGTGGCTGTGTGTTTTATTTATTCAAAGGGTGGTGGTGGACGTACGGTCGTGTCGCTAATTGAGAATTATTACAATTATGTTCAGGGGAGAAGAGGAGTTTTTTCGGGCCGTCACCGGTTAATTCTCGGCCAGTACGTCCGTTGTTTTTTTCATGAATCGCAGGTATTGCGGACGAATCTACAAAATTTTTCTGTTGGGACATATTGAATTAATATTCATTTATTATGTGATTTTTTGGTTTAATGACTCGCACACGTGGACGTATATGTGTGCGGACGAATGAGGAATGGGATTTCAGCTACATGGAAGCTTTATTAGATTAATTCCGGACACGACACCACAAAAGCGATAAAAAGAATCACCTCGTGGAAAAATATTTACTACGATTGCACCGACGAATTTACTTACGCACTCGTGCTACGCACGCCTGCCGACAGAGTGGGGATAGAATGTGGTATTTTGATGTGCAGAAGTGGGATTATTGCCGGTAGTGCTAAGTAATACTAGTCATTATGTGTTAAGCAGACTTATTTAACAGCTCCCAGCTTAACGGCTTCACGCGCGCTTTTTAAATTGTGATAATTTCGAAAGTTTTAAAATATCTACCTTCCAATACTGTTGATTTAGCATTTAGACTTCTGAACTAAATTCAGAACTAAATAAATTTTAAATACTTAAATAGTTTGTATTTACACGAATTTTGCAACAAACTTGAGTAATGTTTGTGATTAAAATCACATATTTACTAGTCATTCAATTACTCTAGTATGTTCCGTTCCCGAAATAGCCTTAACCCCTGTAATGCACTGATGCCGTTTAAGAAGCTTTACTAGAAATAATTCTTGAAAATATTTAATACAGAATATCCAACAGTTTGGCGGCGGAAGTTTGCACGTTGTCTGAGTTTCATAGAAATCGCTTAGGGCTACAATTTGCAAGTTGCATTTTTTTAAGCATCACAAAGCAAGCAAGCATAAAAGAACCTTTTACCTAATATCATTTTCTTCGTTTTTCGTAAGAAATCAAATCTGTAAAAATATATAGGATATATTTTGTTCCATAAAAAAATACAACTTTGGTGTGAAACCCTCAAACAGAATCCCTTGTACATATATTTGAAAATCATTGTAAATGATAGCTCCAAATTTTTTTGACCTCCAACAGACAGATCGCGGACTACAAGTCTCAAATTATGCTTCTGTTTCCAATATGTGCCGCGCAGTCCTCTACAGTACTCTACACGTTAAAATAAAGAACAATTAGATATAGACAAAATATCAACAATTCAACATATTGAAAAAAAAACATCAAATTTGTCATAATCTTCGAAATTCCTTATGGGCTTTGTCCGTTCATCTTCCAGTAATAAACCGTAAAACACTACACGCCCTCCTGAATTTTTCGTGTCATTTTTCAGGCCGAACCTGTACACCGCTTGTTGAACACAGATGTGTCAACGTTGTGTTTCACTCGCGAGCATACGGTCGGGTTAAATGTGCTGAAAATATTTAGCTGAGCAGTGACAATGTTTCTGAAAGAGACATTCTAGAACGGGGCGGATGATTTCAGGAATATAGGGGTGGAATTACAAAATCTATGCGGAAAATTCGCGTTTCAGCTACCGCAAATAATTCGGTTGCATGTGACTGTGGCTGCGCTGATTTTGCCGGTTTTTTCACCGCTGTGGCCGTGTCAGCTTCAGCCAGAACATGATATCCGGAATAATTAGGCGGATTCCTTCGAGGAAAAGGTGATGCCGGAGGTGTGTGTATGTGTTATTGTC